CCGGGAACACCACAAGGGGCACTTCTCCGGTCACGTTTTCGCAACATGTGATCGGAAACCGAGGAGTTTCTCGCGTCCCGTCATACCAAAACAATACTGGAGCCATGTTTAACGTGCCTTGTTCCCAGATTTTCTCCGACCAAACAAAAACAACGAAAGTAAAACCGGCTCTAGCTTCCAGCGTACATGCGCCGTGGCCAGAATTTTTCTTTTTTCTTTTACCTCTAACTTAAAGATGACCTACAGATGCAGCACCACTGGTGTAAAGATTTAATATGGCGGCCACCACGGACAGCCGTAAATTCTGAGGAGGTTGCACGGGAAGCGGCAATAGAAGCGGCGGCCCCTTTACGACAAAACCTCGGGCAGCTTCCCAATGCCTCCACAAGATGCCGTCAGCAGCGGTGCTATTCTTTGGGTGTTTATTCGAGATAGACACTGATCAATGGGGCTAACACATGCGCTACGTTTCAAATATGATGGGGCTTTGGGGCTAACGGTGTTGAAAAAAGGGTTGATCATGTTTTTAAACCCATCCCAATACAATTCTCGGCTCAGTTTTCCCTAAAAGCCACAGGATTTGGTACGGTCACATGTACAGTCGTCCAAATTGCACAACATGGCGGCAGCCAAGTGGGGCTCACTTTTACACGGTGAACAGGATATCAGTTTATTGCTCTAAGCCCCTCCACCTCGTTACTGATGCCGACGGAATAGCGTCAGGTGCACGCCAAAAAAATCTGGATTGTCTGCCCTCCAGGAAAGCGCTTTGAAGAGACAACCGCTAGAATCTACGCAAGGCCCAATGTGAATAACGGGGATAATAATATGCTTAGACCTAAAAGAAACTCTCTGCGCTAAGGCATTGTTCCTGACCTACGCCATGAACAATTTCATAGTACTCAGTGCCACAGTGCAGGCCGTTTTTAAGGGTTTAAACCTAATATCGGCCCTATCATTCGCCGTGGGCATTCCGTATAATAAAGGTGGGTGCAACAGTTTCCAGACTACGGTTAAAAATTTGCGAAAGTTGCGCTCTGAAATTTTTGAAGTAAAGAACAGAAAACAGATTTCGCCTCCGTGTCCTAGCTGGCACCCATCAACTCACTCAGAGTCTTCAGGATCACACCTAATCACACACCTAGTGACGTAATTTTGGGTGTCGTGTAGGTTCGCGAGTCCTCTCTCGGAGGACGCTTCATCTCCTTCTCTCTGGTGACATTAGCGGGCGTTATGCTGCAGCTTAGAGCCGAGCGAGGTCACGTAAGTTTGTCGACGTAGTTTCTTCTTCTCCCACTGGCGGCTGAAGGCGGGGAAAAAGCTCAGGTTTTGATTTGCGACTATGCAGTGGATGGGCGACATTTTTTAATGAAGGATATGTTTTTTTCTACCACACGGGACGCGGTAAACAACGTAAAAACGACGGGATGCAAATTATTTTAATCTTAAAATCGATGCACCCCCTCCCCCTTTTCAGCAAGAAACACATGAGCTACAAAAACGGGCGCCACCCGCAGATCCCCATGGCAACAGCCTAGGATGCTGTGACGTGGACCTATGCCAAGCCGACACTTCAATGCGTCCTCGCAAGTTGGTATATGAAAGCCGCCACGCGGAGCCCGTTTTCCTCGCTCATGTGCTCCTTGCTTTCATTTTTTGTCCATAGAACTTGCAATAAACGTTAACCCTGAGGCTTTGGGTTTATGTCTTCCGCGTGTGACGCGCAACTTACATGTCTGGATATTACACTTTTTGTACAACAACTGTATGTGGCCCGTCCCCCCGGTTTTGTGGCGGCGTAAAAGAGCAAAGGGATCCAGTTGCCACCCTAAAATTAGCTGAAAGCTTTAATTAACGTCAATTCTGCACCAATTCAGTCTTCATGCTAAATATGGCGGGAAAACACGACACGACCTTGCTTCCGCTGTCTAGACGCATCACGTCGCGTGAAGGTCGAGCATTTTTTTTTTTAGGTTGATATTCTTCGGAAGCTATTTCGTCCTTCAGTATATTTATAGCACCGACCAAGAAGGACACCTGCTACGAAGATACCAGACGGTCTCTCTACGAACGCCGGACAGAGTCAACTTGTCAACTTTGTCCGGCCTCTCTGTCTGTTCTGACGACGAGTTTACACTCTCCGGCATTCGCAGTTACACCCACCTCCTGCATGCACTCACGGCGGGTGCAAATGGGCCGAAGCGTAGCCCGTCGTGTGCGCCTGTCAGAAGATCCCCGGCCCAGTGCCTTTCACGAAACCGAAGACCCAACGATGAGTGGTCGCGTTACGCAGCGAGGACGTAAGCCCACAGCTACTGCTGGCAACGAGAACCGCGAGAGCTTCCAAGGCCGGGAAAGCCCCCGATTAGGCGAAGCCACCCATCGATCTCACTATCTTACTTTCCTTTCTTTAGGGTCAAAAAGATGTTTTCTTAACAACAGCAACCAAGGGGAGTAATTGACCTCCAAGAATTAAAAGTTTACAAATGTTCATTATACTCCCTGCTCCTCTTCTCTGTTTTCGTGGCTGTTTTCTCACCAACCACGACAGAAAAGGTTTCGGAAGCGGCGTCCGAGGATGCAACCGACCAGCGAAAGACAGCAGACAACAGGCAGACGAATTTCGTCGGCAGCAAGAGCGCCGTCAGCGTTGTCATTATGCAACCACGTTTTCTTTTATTTTTGTTACTTGAAGTTTTGCTATCTCTGTCTGCATTTATTTTCAAGCCAAAGTTAGATTACAAAAAAGATTATGTTCGTGTGAATCAACCACGGTCGATGCGGGCACTTTCGATATTTCTTTAAAAGCAGACCGAAACCAGAGCTCCGACTGAACCAAGGAGGTAGCGCCATCTATCAATAAGAGCGTCAAACACACCCCGCACCTCGACTTGGTCGTCTGCGTCGCTGCCCGCCGTTGACCCAGGCACGTTTCTTGGCCTTATTTTTTTACAGAAAGAGAACTACGCTTTGTAATTTTACAAGAAAAAACCGACCTGTGAAATACAACTTTGACGAAAAGTTTAGATTGCTACGGGCAGGCGTCTATTTTTACGGTCCATTTTAGATCAAGCCTGGTGACTTGAGCCACCCTATATATATACATATTTCTTTTTCAGGTTCGCTGCCCAATTCTCTACGCTCAGAAGTCTTACCTTTCTTTGCATGAAGAGATTGATAAAGAACGGCGAAAGCGTGGCCTTAATGTTTCAACCCTGTTTTGACAAATATAAAAACAATTTTGCATTAAATTCTACTGTACTGTCCCTATTTTATATATTAAATTAAGAGAATGTATTGGTCCTTATGAAATAAGGTTCTAAAAATATAGCGGCAATGTAAAATCGAAAAAAAACGATAAGAAAGAAAACACGAAAGTTTTGAAAAGTTTTCTACGCAACCATTCAATTACAATTGAAAACGAGCGTGTTGGTTAATAGATACAAAACTTGAAAGTATAAAACAGAGAGGACGAGGACGAGAACAGGACATCTTTCATTTAGCAACAACATAGAATGGCACAACGATAAAAAACCTCCCCCAAGGGTCTCAGCGTTCTCAAAGAGGGAAAGGAGATACTAGTTATGAAGGAAAGGGAATACACTAAAAGAAAAGTTTGAAAAGCGCATCAGTAATCAAGTTATTTTCGATTAGTTAGAATTAACCTTGGTCATTGACAATGACCAAGGTTAATTCTAACTAATCGAAAATAACTTGATTACTGATGCGCTTTTCAAACTTTTCTTTTAGTGTATTCCCTTTAATTCATAACTAGTATCTCCTTTCCCTCTTTGAGAACGCTGAGACCCTTGGGGGAGGTTTTTTATCGTTGTGCCATTCTATGTTGTTGCTAAATGAAAGATGTCCTGTTCTCGTCCTCGTCCTCTCTGTTTTATACTTTCAAGTTTTGTAACCATTCAAGGAACGACGTGTTTGGGTGCATTAAGCTTTTATTCACTAATCAACCCCCAAGATTCATAGCTCGATAGGAATAAAAAAAGCATGCTTTCTTTCACCCGGAATCCTTAATAGACTATAAATTTAAAAGTGTCATGGTAGTCTCGTTTATGCTGAAACCATAATGGTACAGTAAAAAAGTTGTCGGACCGCGCGGATATTTGTATGTAGTTTTGACATTTCAATAAGCGTTTAAAAGCTACAGCTAGGTCACGATTGCGAACATTTATAGCTATCTTTTTAAAAGAATGCCCTTTCTAAACTTTATGAAGCAAGATAAAAAGAAAAAAAAACATCTAGAGAGAGCAAAAAATCATTAACCCGTTTCCGATAACACTCAAAACTCAAAAGTACACTTGCCATTTCTTAAAGATCCCCTGCCATAATCGTAACCCACATTTTTGTTGCCACTTAGAATGAAGCTCAAAACACTGAAGCCACTTCCGAGTTTACAAAGTCCTCAGTTTGTTTCCCTAGGGGCCGCAAAATGCCGTCATGTCTGAGGAATGCTGAGGTTCTGTTGACGTTTAGCTGATTTTTTTAACACTCATAATTAAATGGCTTTCAGACACTTGTTAATAGAAGCGCCAAAAAGAGATAACTCTCATTTTATCCCAGTTCCGTAGCCAAAACCTAAACACCAACTATATTTTTTATTAAACGAAGAAAGCATTCCACAGGAAAGGCAACGACCACATCCTTCAAGCGAACACCAACCGCGGCGTTCACATGACGCCTTCTGCGTACAAAGAATCGTGCCCTGCACACTTATGAGATGGTGGTAGTGAGTGAACGTATATGTTGATGATAAAATATGCCCCCGGCGCTGACCGCTCTCTAGGTAGACGCAGGAAAACGCGATGAGTATTTTCTGTGATGTCGAGATAAGAATATAGGCGGGACATTTCGCGCTCTTCGAACACACTTGTTTACGGCACATTTCAGTATTTCCTCAAAGCCACCCATAAAAGGACTCCTTAACAAGCCTGCAGCACAGTCTTGACGGCAGCAAGTCAGTCGAAGTATCTCCATACAAAGACAGCATGAACACCTTTGTGAGTACACTTAGAGTGCACAGAAGATAATTAATGAGTAACGCAAAACACTTTAAATATGTTTTTGTTTCCAGCGCACTAATAGCTGTCCAGGTATCTTAACGACGGATCGAAAGAACATGTGTGCTACGGTTACAAGTCAAACTGGATGATTGGATGAACAGGTTGAATACCGTCCGGGAGGCAAATTACAAACTGGCGTGTTACTGAAGTTCACTGCCCGCGATTCCACAAAAAACACCATTTTCAGTCGTAGAGAATGTTCTCGTTCAGTGTTTTAGAACAATGCTCTTAAGTGCTTTTCTGCATAAAGCTAAGTATTCATCGTAAATTAATATGCCTCTCATGATAACTTATCATGAGAGGCATATTAATTATATCATGATAACATGATAACTCTCATAAGTCTCTCATGATAACTTCATCCGAGCAGTCGGTAGTTACTGACAGCAAAGTAAATTTCATTCTGCTAAGGCCATACTGAACGAAGCCCTTAGGATCCATTCCATACCGGGTACTCCGCACCAACAGTGGTCGGTTTATGCCAGGTGATACCCGTGTAGTCGGTGCCCGCATGCGCTCCGAACAATAAGCTCAAATATGGTGTCCACGTATTTGCACCCATAGTGCCTAGGTTAAAACCAGTTCCATCATGCTCACCCAGACCGCCCTCGTGTCCTGCCTCGTCCTGCTGGCCGCCTGCTGCCAGGCCGGATACGTGGCACCATACGCCTACCACGCTGCTGCAGTCCACGTCCCCGTGGCCACCACGGTGGTGCGTCAGCCGGTGGTGGAACACCACAGCGAGGTGGCCTACGTGCCACCCCACGCCCACGGTTACACCATCAGCCAGAAAAAGGTCGTCCACCCAAAGACTATCGTCACCAAGCACGACCCATTCATTGGGTGAGTCAAGTCCGTCTTTCTACAAGACAAGGACAGATTCAGAATCAATCTCGTTGGAAACATTACAAGTGCATGGGTTGAAACCTGGACCTTAATTGTGAATTATTTTCTCCACTATAATCACGTGTTTTGTTGGTAATCTTGCATTCCAGGCAGCATTCTTGTGTATATTGGGAAATAATGTATTACTTCAACGTGTATTACAATTACTGGGGCAGCCTCCACTGTGCACAAGTTGGTTCAAACTTAAGTTGCCATGAACGAACATTGCACATCATATTCGTTTCTCGCTCTCTACAAGTCGACACCGACTATAATAAGTTTCTTATCTGCGAAAACAAATAGTTGTTGTTTCTAATGAGTGAATTAGGTTTTTCTATGATAATATTAAAAACAAAAACGTCTAGCCGCATTTTGACGTTACAGCTCATGGCCTAGAAGCGCTTTTCTCGTCGACAACGGCTTTGTTCTTGGGACTAACCCAATTGAATTGCTCTCCCAAACGCAGCACCTACCAGCAGGCCGAGGTGCACCACGCTCCAGTGGTGACCGGCTCTCACAGTTCCGTGCACCAGAGCCGAGGTGGACACTTCGTGCACCGGCCGGTTGGCACCATCGTCTACTAGAGGAATCCACTTCCTAAGTCACCATTTGTCTAAAATACTCATCCACGCTTGAAGCACAATAAATGCAACTCACTCTTCGGGTGAAGAAGCGACGTATCATCGTGATATTTGGTCAACCATATTTACCAAACCTCTAAACCACAACATGCGTGTATTAAGCTATCTGCGTCTATTGCGCATGTGGTGATTATTCGATTGCATTATTCGACTAAACAATTTTATTGCATATTGTGTAGCAACATATGCGAATAAACTATCCAGACTAAAACATTCAGAACTGCGCAGGAGGGTAAATATTTTGGACGAACCAGTCATTATTCCTGAAGGTACCAAAGCGTGCATGAAGCTGTGCTCTGAGCAAGTGTCCTAGCAAGTGCTCTGAAATGCGCATTTAAAAAAGTGTGTGTGTCTACTTTCAAGCACAGCACTCGGAGAGCCAATCACAGCTACTTACGGAGGCAGCCCAGCGAATGACGATGTCGAAACGTATGTTTAGACCGAAACACGCAGTCTGAGTTGTGACATTAAGCAATGCAAGTGTGACGTTTTGCATTGCTTAATGTCAAACTCAGATTGCGTTTTTTGGTCTAAACATATCTTTCCGCATCGTCATTCGCTAAGCTGCCTCCGTAAGTTGCGGTGATTGGCTCTCGGAGTGTTGTCCGGGAATGCAGACTCACAGGCTTTTTTTAGGGTGCACCAGGTGCGCAAGGAGCAATCTTGCGACCTTCAGAAATGCAAAACGGGGGATTTTCGTCCATCTCGATTACCGCTCCGATGCCAATAAGATGGCAGAAAGAGTTGGTAAAACTGTTAAGAACAAATCACGATGCAAGGAGCGGGAACATAACAGAGACCTGCGATTTTTCAGGGTGTCGAAAACTACCAACGTCGTAATCTCTAAAGGTGACAAATAACGGATAACCGCAACTTTTTTAACACAGAAGGGGGAACCCAAAAATAACTGGAATATAATTCTGGGGGGTGGCGGGGCCGTTCGTAGTACCAGCCTCCGCCGCTACCAGCGCGTAGTGGCATCCCTTCCGAGTCCGTTTGCCGACCGACGTCTTCTGCTAAAGTTCTAGCGACGTGTTGCAAATTTTTCGCCCAAAGCGCCTCAATATCATGTCTCGTTTCTTACAATGCCTGAGTTGAAAGAACAGCGTGCGGTCGTAAACTGTTTGCAAATATATAATTAAAACAGCGGAAGCGATCGCAAGGACAGGTAGAAGGAGGGACTCAGACGCAGCGCCAGACTTGTACGTAACTAAGGTTACTCTAGTTTCACTACTTTCCCGAGTAGTTTAGTAACTTTAAAAAACATTTTACTTTCGGTAATAATTAGTTTCCTTTAATTGCTTTTCCGAAGTAACTTCTACTCAAGTTAGGAATTACTTTTCTAGTTTTAGTTGTAGGTTTGCTAGTCAACAAACATTCCTGCACAAAAATTAGTGGACGGACACGTCGCGAGTGAGGCCCAGTAAATGCGGGATTAACGCAGAAAACTGGCATTTCTTTGTGTCCCGAATAAGAAAACGCATCAACATAAGAAGACAAATCACGGAAAAAAAGAACTAGTCATAGGGGCCTAGCGGAGTCACTTTGTAAATTATCCAGGAACCTCCTTAGCATACTTGACAACGGTACCCCTTTCCCGTTGTAAAGTGTATATTGGGCAGAAGGACACATGTAACATTGTTAGAGCTCGGGAGAATTCTCTGTCTTTGGGGTATTCTCCTTCGGGTCACCTAGCCGTTCATTCAGATAGTTCTGGCTGTTCACCTCGGTTAGGTGACAATAAAAGTTTGGCTAAACCTTCACAAAAAATGGCTAGGGAAATTCACTGAGTATTATACATTCGGCAACACGGTCCCGATCCATGCGTAAGTTCAGAGTTAGGTAAGCTATCCAGTGAAGAGTTAGGGTTTGTTCGGAGTTTGGGCACGTTTCTCTAAAACTTTGTTTCAGCTTCCGTGGGAACGATACTATGGCTACAAGAGCGTACATGCAGCCAAAAAACGGTGCCCACACACT